AAGTAAACCCACAAGCGAAAAGTAACGCATGGACCCTCCCATACTTCTGTATAAAAGTTACTTTTAAGGATAACAAGAGTATTTCTATGCCACGCGTGGGGAGATTCTTTGGATAAAGACTCAAAAGTGGTTGTGAGCATTAAATGAGCATTAAATGATGATGAGATTTGTTAAAATCAGAAATCCTGTAATTTGAGATTTTGCATAATTTCTTAATTCTGGATCAGAAGTTCTATCTAGGACAAACATCCAACTTCTAATCTTTGTACTTTATTGCCTCAGCATGTTCTGAAGGATTCCCCAGGCTTTCCAGTAACCTTCTTTGATTTATCTTTGAAAACTCTGGATTAGAAGTTCTGTTTCAGCGTAGCATCCAATCTTTTGATCCTCTTACCTTCTGGCTCCAGCATGTTCTGAAGGAGATTTCAGGCTTCGTATTACGCTTTATTACCTTATTTGCATTACCCTAGCAAACTCTGACTGAACTTGCGTAGATGCTGAAGAGCCATGTTCTGACTGAAGACTGTGTGTTGAACCATGTTTACAACTTCTGATTGCACCTGCCTGGAGGCTGGCTCAGAAGTTTTGAAGTGTCATTTTTCTTAAATACTTAGAAAAAATCCGAAGTATTTAGAAATTTGGCTTTTCTATAGTAAATTTGACTTTGAACTTTTTGATGATACAAACTTCATATTCCAACATGTCTTGATGAAATATGATTCTTGAAAGTTGGTTTTGGTCCAAAAGTCAAAGTTAGACTTCTCAGCATGCAAATGACCATTTTGCCCTTGTGAATGGTTTGCTCAGAAAAAATGATAACTCAAGGCTTGAAATTGTATGAGAGAAAACTTGAGAATCCAGGGTGAATCCTTGAGAAATGAGAGAGAAATTTTTGGGGTACAACACATATGATGAAAACATATTAATTATGTGAATTTTGAATCTACTTTGATGTGAAATTACAAGCAAAATTGGGACTAGACTGTGCAGAAACTGTTACAGAAGAGTGTGTCACGCGTGTCTCGCCGAGCGAGCATGATGCTTCATCGGGAAAAGGCACCTCGTCCCTAATGCACAGGGAAAGGTTGAAGCAAAGGGGACTGATGGAAAGAAATCAGAGCCCCTAAAAATTGTATGGGGGAAGTGGAATCGCTCAACTTCACCGAGCGAAGCAGAGGCGAGCTGAGCTCGCCGGGCAAACAAACAGGCTCGTCGGGTGAAAGAGGCAAAGGAAAATGCATGCTCCTAGAATTTTATATAGGAAAGTACGTTTTCCCCAGCCTCTCCGAGCGAGCCTCAGGTGAGCAAGTTACTTTGTCGGGTGAGCCTCAGGCGAGAGGGAGATGGCAGAATCTTGAAAATGTTGTAACTTGAGTTTTCGGACTTCGTTTGACGCACCATTCGAAGCGTTGGATAACTCACGTAATGAACTATAATTAGGTGGAATAAAATGAGTAAAAGGATAGATATTTCCAGTACCTTGCTAGGATTAAACTATACCATGAATGATGAATTATGATAATACTATGATGAATTGATGTGATTGTGCGATTGATGCAACATGATGTATGCTTATATGATGGATTAATGTTGTTATGATGATGCTTTGTATATTACAGTTTATGTGATGATATTGTGATAAATTCATGAATGATGACACATTTTAACTAGTTGTGGTCATGTTTTATTGTATTGTTGCGCATCATGCATTCATGGCATATATCAGGACTTCGGTCCAGGGATGTTGTTAGGACGATTGGTCCAGTGATACTGTTAGGACGATTGGTCCAATGATGATGAAAAGAAGTTAGTCTAGTTATGGCCTTAATACCATAGTATGGATTGAATTTAATATTATGACGTGCTCTGGTTCTAAGCGGAAATCGATCAAATAATGGGAATCTTTAGAGGAAGATGACTTGGTCATCAATGAAGTTTTGGTACCACATGCATTAGTCAATGATGTCGTATTACATTATTTGTGATATTGCATAATGATTAATTAAGCGATGTTGTTGATTTTATAATCTAAGTGATGTTTGATGATAGATGTTAACATGATGATATGATGATATAATTGATGTGTGTTAATGATACAAAAGGTGAGTACAATTTATGATGTATGATGAGACGTGGAATTCATGATGAACTGATGTTGTACTACTATATCTGTTCCATATATCTTTTATAATAGTTTATGATTACTCACCCTTTCTGCTTGGAAACGTTACCTATATACGTGGGTAACTTGCAGATAATCAGGAATAAACGTAGAAGCTCGAGGATAGCTTTATGGAGTCTTTTAGTTGCTTTATTTCAAATAAAGAGGTTCTTGCTCTAATATGTAACATCAGGGTCTTTGGGATTGTTTAAATTGAACTACATGTTTCTTGTTGACATGATGTATTGGGATGCTTTATTTCATCTTAAGATGTTTTAAGTATGACTTATGAATTATGAAGTGTGATGGTATTTTATTTGAAGTATTTAATAAATATGTTTTGAGACAATAATTCCGCTATGATATGTTGGAGTTTCATGATGATATTTTCAAAGAGATAGATGTTTTAGTTTTTGAAAGCCTGTGTTACGGAGCAAGATATGCATGCATGATGTTTTATATGCAAATGTGACACCCTTTTTGATGCATTACTCTGATTTATTAATTATAATATTCATGGGGTTTTAAAAGGGTGTTACACAACTAATGGTGCATCTTTCCTCTATACTATGAGGCATGTTATGTCTGGACAAATTGCTCTTGAGAAGGGATGGAAGGAAGGTATTCTGCAAGACAGTGGGGCTGTCTCCAACATCAAGGAATGCATAAGACTCTTTGATAGAGGTAGGAGGCTCTTTGATAAAGGCAAGAGGTGGAAGACCACCTGAAGCTGGCCAAGAAGTTCTATTTCCATCTGTTTGTTTCCATCTGGTGCTCATAATTGGCTGTTCTGAGGCGTGTTTCCATCTGGTGCTCATGATTGGATGTTCCTAGGTGTGTTTTCATTTATTGTATTGTCTGATTGCAATGTGTTCTAAAGTGATATGTGTTTCCAATATGTATATTTACTCTATTTTTTTGTCAATATTTTGGCTAAAAAGGGAGAGTTAAGTGTTGTGTCCTTATGTTACATTACATGTCTTGGCATATTGATCTAGCATTGTGATATGGTTGCATGCTACTACTTTTTGAGAGAGTAGCTATTTGTGGTTGCTCATGCAACTATTTAGGGGGAGCATGATTGTTCATGCTTACTTGTGTTGAAGCTACTGCTGCTTCTGATGTTCCGCTGCATGTGCTATGTTGTGTGGGTTTTTCTCTTAAGGGGGAGAACTTATTGGTTGTGACAATGGGAGTATTAGACCTGTCTGATTGTATAAGCTTCTGAGTTATATTGTGTTTACAATGTTTACATGGTTTCATGTAACTTGTGTTTATGGTTTTATTCCCATCTTCAAGTTAATTGGCTTTTGGTTGTTTTAGCCAAAATTTGACAAATGGGGAGATTGTTAGGTCTATGATTTTATGATTGACAATAATTTTGGTAAAACAAGGAGTTGACAACAATTCTATCAAAACATGTTTCATTGGTAAAAACATGTATTGCAACTTAATATTGAACAAGATGTCATAACATCTTGACCAACTGGTACAATAGTGTATGTAGGTACTTATTTAACAAATGTTATATCATATGTTGTAACATGTTGCAATAGAACATCATGAGAGTACAACTGAATATTTATCCTTAAAGATTTGATTGAAAAATATGAGATTCTAGAAGTTTCTAGTACTTATAACAGGTGCAGGCAATCAAGGTTTGTTAGGAATAATTGTAGATTTGATTTATTTCATAAAAAAGATCTTTGAGACTTTTTGGGAAATATTTGAAATATTTCTTTTTGTTTTTATTTTCGTGGAGATTATTCTGCAGGGATTTAGAGCTGAAGATTATATTTGATTGAAGAGTCCAAGCCCAACTACATGAGTCTATATAAGGAGTCATCAAAGACCTAGTTTTTTAAGCATAGTTTTTATTGTAAAACCTTATAAAAATAAGAGTTTAAAGTTTGATAGTTCCTTAGGTTCTCCGTGTGTTTTTTGTACATCCTCATGTATCTTTGATGTATTTGAGTTGACAGATTATTACTTGTTCATCAAGTTATTATTCTCCTCGAAGCTTTTAAGCAAGAGTTGAGTATTGTTCTTAGTGAAACTTTTAAGCAAACTAAGTATTTTAATCTGGATGTGTGTTCTTCCTTTTTGGTTTTTTGAGACATTCCTTGGGACTGGGATTATTTGATACCACTATGGTGATTGCGAGTGAGAGGGGTTCTCATATATAGAAGGTGTCTAGGTAAAAGTTGCATTGGATATGGATTAAGTGAGAAGTGTAAACTGGTACTGTTTAGCTTCAAATTTCTACTACTAATAATAATGGATTCCCTTCCTGGCTTGGTAGCCCTGAGAGTAAGTGAGTTTGCACCGAACTGATTTAAGAATTCCTCGTTTTCTTTAAGTTTCTGTACTTTATCTTCTTGCACAATCTTTCTGTTTTTAGCAAGTTTATTTGCTGTCATCAGATGTCCTAACATATGTTGTGACATCGTGTGTTGTTAAAACATCAGTCTTGACATATGATATTGTGTGTGCCAGAATTTCAGAACTAATTCACTATGTAACTTAAAAAAAACATATTCTATTCTGAAACAAAATGAACCAAAACACGACTCATAACCCTTTAAACAAAAATTGTAACCAAATTCCATTATTTCTAAACTCACTTGAAATGAAACACAACTCAAAATGAAACTTCAGTCACTTCTCCTCAACTCTCTTACTGCCAAGCTCAGTTGAAACATCCATGCTAAAGCAAAACCTCTTGAAATGAAACGTTTGCATTGAAGAAACTTTTGAAACACCAACTCTCAAATTGAAACATCTTCATAATTGTTTTCATCAATAGCATACGACCACCGTCGTTTTCACCAATGTCTTCATGACCCGTTTGTCTTCATTGATAAATTCATATTCTTCGTCATTTCTGGTATGTCCATGCATGAATATCTAGTGATTTTCTCTCACACTCTCGTTTTCATATTTTGATATATTAATGGCATTGCATTTTTTAATTTCATATATTTTCACTACTTATCATAGAGCTTGTTGTTATTTTGTTCGATCCTCTCTCGTTGGACTTGTGTAGGTTTTTCATTTGTGTATTTTAAATTTGAGTACTAATTCTATTTGTATTGAGATTATTGTTTATTTCACTATTGTTTTGTGATTGATGAATTTTGTTCCTTTAATGTTAATAAAGTATCAAGTGAGAAAACAAAATGGTTTTATTTTAAAACACATGATTTATTATAATATACTTTCAATTTTCGCCCATGATTCGTTGATAGATATGATAAATAATAACAATTTTACTCTCTAGTGAGTTATAAAGTGAGTTAATCGGCTCAGATTTGTTTAAGTTAATCAACTCGAGTGTTTGTAGGGTATCAAAGTGTTGCAAGTGTACTCATCAAATTTTAAGAAGTCTGTATCAATAAAAGATCTCAAATTAATTGACTTATAATCCCATGATTGCCATGTCTTAATACAAAAACCTTTACAATTGGCTATTCGTGACATCTAGTCAAAAAATGTTAGGCAAACTATAATTATATTGCACTTATTCTTCAATGTTATATGTAATAAAGTCATTGATCCATAAAATTTATATGAGTTGGAATATGAGGCTGCAATTATCTTGTGTCAATTGGATATATATTTCACTCAATCATTTTTTGATATTATGGTTCACTTAATTGTTCATTTAGATATGGAGATTAGATTGTGTGACCTAGTTTATTTAAGGTAGATGCATCCAGTAGAGCGATACATGAAGATCTTTAAAAGGTATACAAATAATCATCACTGTCCAAAAGTTTTGATCGTTGAAAGGTACATCACAACAAAGAAAACCCCAAAGAATCATACCCCATGTGGCATCATCGTAATATGACCATATTGGATTTGTGCATTTATTGTGTTTTGGAGGATGAAACTTACATTCATTGTGTTAAAGATTGCATTGACTCCAAAAATCTATGGTTGAACCTCATTTTTTAATTTTGTTTTTTCATAACCCAAGATGACAACAATTGGCTAAAAATGACATGTTATAAGTTTGCTACAATATTTTTGCTATAAAAATATTGTGGGTCTAAAGGAATGAAAATTCTACTTGCATCACCCAAGAAAACATTCCGCTATATCACTTTTCTCTAACTACTCACAACACGACAACCCATTCATCTATTGCTTTAACAAAACTCATCATGTATACTAAGAGATGAGACTCGTCAATGAAACTCTCTCAACCTCTTTCACCCCATCATCAACGTTGATGAAAGTTAGATTAATACTTATACCTGCACAAATTAAGGCAAAATCATTTGTAACTCCTTTGATGCTTAGTAGGAAGACTTTTTATACAACATTTAAGGAATATTTGATATCTTCTAGAAGAAGCTCCATGTCATCAATCAAAGACTTCCTAATACAAAGGACATAAGTTTCAACGACTCAGCTAGCCACACAATTCTTCTTTTATGTATCACCCTAACTGAGGCCCCACTAACAAATACCACAAGTATGTTGTTTTGATTCAAGAACTCAATGAATTATTAAAGGAGAATGGTCTATTCAAAATCCCTCACACTTTTAAGAAAAGAAATTAACACATCATTTTTTAGGTCAAATTTAACGATTCTGCAAACCAGAATCTCCCGATTTCCACTTCAGCCCCACGAAGATCATTCATATTCATGTTGCTGACGCGACATAAATATCTTTTAATAGTTTAGTTTATTTATTATTTCTTTTCTCCTTTTATTTACATTTGTAAAAATAAATAAATTAAACTCTTAATTTTTTGGCAATATTTTTTTATAAAATTTATTCATTTTATTTGAAAGGGGTTATGATTAAACAAAAGGAAAGAGAAAGAAAAATATCAAGATACATGGTCGGTGATACGGCCGAGTCTGTATCTTCTCTCTTCATTCTTCAACACAACTCTAAACCCTAATTCCGAAATTCAACAAATTTTCCCAATTCTTCTTCTCCGTTTCTCTGCACAAACCCTCACACCGTGACCCAACCTCTCTCTTCATCTCTTCGCTTTGTCACATCACAGGTTGTTGTTGTTGTTCACTGGTTTTGGTTTCGTCTTCTCACTGCTCGCAGAGAATCGCTCTCATCGATTTTTTCTCCTGCACTGAAACTGAACTTCACTTTCGCTTTTTGCTTCAGGTAACGGTTAAGGTTCCAATATTCATCGGTGCCTATGGTTTTAAACGCGTTTTGCTTCTGCAATTTTCAGCTTGTTAAGTTATTTTTCTTTTAATTTTTCTTTTTGATAAATAAACTAGTGCTTGCTTTCACGTTTTTCATTCATGTTTAGTTTTATATATTGCTATGGACTGAAATTTTGTTTGTTTTTAAATTTTTTTTGTATGGTTGATAATTTAAGAGTTCCTTGTTGATGTTGATGAATTGTTGATGTTGATGTGAAGTTCCCTGTTGTATACATGTTCATTCATATATTAGTGAATGATAGTGTTATAAGAAAATATATGATAGTTGTACCCACTTTTTTTGTGAGAATAAATTGGTTTAATGTGAGATTGGCTGACATCATAACTCATAAGTAACATATTATAGCCACAAAGACTATTTAAAGAGCTTACTTGGACTTATATTATTAATGCGCAAGTGTTTGGAAATTGGAAGAGTTAATGTAAATAGATTATATGTCTACTAGAGGTTTTGAGCTTATTTTCATAGCATTGTTGAATAGATTGTTAAAAGAACTTACTCAGATCTTATGTTAGGTTTAATCCCGGAAGCTCTTCAATGGTGGAAATAACTTTTTTGTAAGGGGTGACAAAATGGATCTGGCTTGCTGGGCATGCCCATTTTGCCCGATTTTAGGTCACACCCTCTACTATGCCCGTGCCGCCCCGTTTTCTTTCCAGACTTTTGCAGCCGCGGGCATTAACGTGAATTTTTGTAACTTTTAGGATTTAGAGGTGTAGGGCTCGTCAAGCTCGCCCACCCTCATTTTTTTTGGGGTGGGCCAAATTTTTAGGCCGAAACCACCGCCCCGTTTTTTTTGCGGGCTTTTGTGGAGCAGATTTACCGGTTTGCGACCCCTATTTAGTGCTCATTAATTAAGAGCTTATTCATAAGTTTCATTTTTCTAAACACCTAGTGCACATTCAATTATTTATATCCAGATTAAAATAAAGAAAAAATGACCTTCTAACATAATTGGGAATTGTATCTTTTATCTTGCAAATTAGTGATTTGTGTATTTATTATTTGTTTCTCATAAGTATGCTTACTGGACAGGGAACAGTTTGATATTAGAGGCATTATCATCGCTCTGAAATTTGTATAAATATATTTCTTAAACCAAGTTTAACCAGCTTTCGGTTCATGGCTGGATTATTGCTTGGTGATGCCTCTCAACAAGGAGCACATGTAGTTGGTTCTCAAAGATACTCTGAAGAGAAGCCAGAGGATGGATCAAGATGGTATTTTTCTAGGAAGGAGATTGAAGAAAATTCACCATCCCAAGGAGATGGCATAGATTTGAAGAAAGAAACATACCTACGCAAATCATATTGTACATTTCTGCAAGATTTAGGCATGAGACTTAAAGTGTGAGTTTTATTGTTAGCCTTAGACAACTATCTTAATTGCAATAACTCCTTTTTATTTTATGTTCCATTTAAGACATGTGTGCATCATTGCAAGTATTCTTGGTTTCTCTTTATTTTATGTACCGTTGTCGGCAAAGTATTTTAAAAAATTATTTTATGTGATTTGTTTCCTTGTTGGAGCTCATTAGGATTATTGTAATGAGTTAACGTGTCTATAGATTATATTTCTAGAAATTTATGGAAAGGTTTGTTTCTTATCATATTAAAATTACCGATAAATGGCGACAAAGTTACTGACCTTCATTTATCCCAATGTGGATACTGATTTAAATCTGATGCAGACCTCAAGTAACAATTGCAACAGCAATAATATTTTGCCACAGATTCTTTCTGCGGCAGTCCCATGCAAAGAATGACAGGAGGGTGAGTCTGTATTTTGTTATTTAAATTCACACATTTTATGTGATTAATTGTTATCTGATTGAAGTGTCAATAAGTTTTACGTATTTCCATTTTTTGACTGGATAATTAATGTAGATTGTTGGGTATTTTTTTATGATAGTTCTGTTCGGTAGAAGTCATGTAGTTTTTAGGATACTGTGTAATGGAAGGGTGTATGTTATACTGTATGTTAGACAATGATTGGCATAATACAGGCGAAAGACTTAAGCCTATCTATGGGTAGTTTTGTTGCCAGTAGTTGAATGTAGAAGTTGTGGCAATCAGTCAGTTTTTTGGTAAATGTTTAACTTGTTTTTATATTGGTGTTGGACTTATATTTGATCTTTATTGTATTGCAATTTCTGAAAATTATCATATTAAATGCATAATGCTACATTGTTGAGAGACATTATTACGAGAATATCATATTTTCTTTCTTCAGTCATCCAACTAACTGGTTAGTCTAAACCTAGGCGTAGTGAGCTAATCACTGTCCTACCCTACCTTATGGATCTGAGCACAATTGTAAACATTGTGCAATTTACTGATCCTGTGCTCATAAAATCACAATGTGGTTGGTTGATTAAGGTAAGATTCCGGTGGCAACTCAAACACATGAGATCAGTGAGCTTCACGAGTTGGGTTATTGCACAAATTATTCTGCTGATTAAAGAACAATATCATATTTTGTTTGATATTTTTCTACTACTTCATTCATCTTGGTTAATCTGTAGGCACTAATCATTGAAGTGTGGTGTGAATAACTATTTAGCTATTTAGGTATCAAAACTATGTATATACTATAGTGGTGTGATTGATTTTATTCCCTGGTTTGTATAAGATTCAAAGATATTAATAGTTATGCGTGTCTTGATATTTTGTGCATCTTGGGTGATGATGATTACAAATTATTTTCATGTTAAACCAATGAATTGATGCTTATTTGTTTTATAAGCTTGTACCCTCACGGCATACCATGTAAGAAATAAATAACTATTATGAATCCAGTTTAATGACTTTCCTTATAATCAGTGTAATTAATCGCGCCCTGTAGTGGCGCTATCCCGGGAATCTCTCCCGGTGCGGCAACCTTCCGCTATGGAGGAGCGGCCCGCATCTTGGTTTGAGATCGTTTGCAGGAATAGCGGGTCGCGGGGGCGGAGCGCTTCCCGGCCCAGGCGGATTTTGACCCCGTTTTTGGTTTTTTTGGGCTCGAAGATGAACATAGCGAAGACATGATTGTAACGGAGGAATAAAAGATGTAGCGTAACACGCAGTAAGAGAAAAGATAGTAGAATAGAAAGAAGAGGAAGAGGTAGAGAGATAAGTGCAAGATTGATTTTTTATTACTCATAAACAAAACGTTGAAAAGTCAAAAGTAATTAATTTGTTCAGTGTTGTACACTTATCGACAGTCCAACAGCTACGTACAGCTGTGAAACACTTAGTGCATGTTTGGTTTGGCTTTTGGAAGGATCAAAAGCAATTCTAGAGGTGTAGAATTGATTCAGGGTGATTTTAAGATGTTTGGTTAGGCAAAAGTAGAATTGATTCTGCATCTATAATTGATTCTACTTGAAGTTAGAATTTGTAGCTTCTGCCTCCGGAATTGATTCTGGGTAATTTTTACACTAAAATTTATTGTTAAGTCACTTTTACATAAATGTACCCAAACATTAATCAATTGTGCTAAACTCAATTCTGATAGAATCAATTCTACAAGATTCAATTCTACTAGAATCAATTCTGTCCACCGCCAATCCAAACACACCCTTAATTGAATAGCTACAGTACTTGGACCACTAATTTGAATAGTGACTCACCTCATATACATATGTAAAACACTTAATAATAACATTAACAATAAAACTAATAATAACATACATCATAGCAAATATAGAAATTAAATAAATATATTGTCTTTAGTTCATTATTATTTTGTTAATTTATAGTTAGATTAATGTTTTAATTTTTAGAGTTATTGTTCATATAGTATGTGTACATAATTATATAAATATTTTTTGAGATTATTCCGCTATCCGCTATTCGGGATTAATAACTCTGCTTATAATAGGATTATTGTTAGCTAAACATAAATTGCATTTGTAGGATTGTTCTATGTCGGCTGCCAGCCTTCTTCACACTGTCAGTTGTTTGAGTTTTTGCTGTGCTATGTACACATTGTTTTATGCTTTTGTTATATTGTTTTGAACAAAAATTCTACAGCCGATATTTCTTGTTTTTGTTTGTATTGTATTCCTTTTTTCTTTATTTAGCAAACTTATGGATCTACTCTCATCTTTATCTTCTATCTACCAGGCTTTCCTATTTTTTCCAGCATTTATTTGAGTCCATGGACATGTAATTCCCTCAATGATATATGTCTGAATGCATAGTCATCAGTTATATTTTTATCTTCACAGGACGAATGGTCAATAGTATGTAGGATGAAATATTAAGTTAGAGACATGGTAATCATTAATTACTTACAATGTTTTGCAGACCATTGCAACAGTGTGCATGTTTCTTGCTGGCAAGGTTGAAGAAACTCCCCGCCCATTGAAAGATGTGATCCTTGTTTCATATGAAATTATAAATAAGAAAGATCCGACAGCAGTTCAGAGAATCAAACAGAAGGTATGCAGCTTAATATGCCCCAGTGTTACACACCCAGATTAAGAATTGAATAATAGGAAGATAGAAAGAAATAGGGTGAATATATGAATAGTAAATGTGTTTTGGATTAGGCTCCTCTAAATGAGGGGTTAGTTTAGAGGTTAAAGTGCAGAATTGTAACCGTTGCAATTAATGGTCTGGTATTAAACGACTTCATAATTTGTTTTCCATGTGCATATTCTAATTAAAATCTCAAGTATTGTCTTTTTCAATCTGTGGTTATTATTGTTTCTTTGCCTACTATCATAATGCCACCCCCTTTGAAAATCCATCTTCACTTCAAAGTGGCAAATAGTAAATGTGATAAGGATTGGGCTTCTCTAAATGAAGGGTTACTTTAGAGCTTAAAGTGCAGAATTGTAACCGTTGCCATTAATGGTCTTGTATTAAACGACTTCATAATTTGTTTTCCCTGTACATATTCTAATTAAAATCTCAAGTGTTGTCTTTTTCAATCAGTGTTTATTATTGTTTCTTTGCCTGCTATCCTAATGTGCCCCTCTTTGAAACTCCATCTTCATTTCAAGTGGCAAATTGGGGATTTCCGTTGTTCATCTCACACCATGCTTCAATCCTTGACTCTCGATAGAGCCCAAGCTGAGGCAGTCAGCCCAAATGAGGATTTGGTTCTAAGGTGTTCCGTACACCAAGAGAGAAAAAGGGAGAGTGGGTAAAGAATGAAGTAATGCGTGGAATGCCGCACATGCACTAAGAGAGTAAGATAGGGAATCATGAGGGAATTCGGCGCACATGATTAGAAGTCCCGTGGCAGTTGGAATTCTATTCCTCTGTAAATCCTCATTTATATAAATAGTAGTCTTACTCTATTGCTTTATGTTTGATTTTTATTTTTGCATCCTTAGTCCTTAACAACTCTTGATGGTTTTTCCATCCTCAACCATTTGTCTGTTCAGTTGCGCTCATCTGTTTCCTCTGCTCTTTTATCATGTCAATTTAGCTGATCATATTGAGCAGTGTTGAGTCGCTGACCTCTGCATGAGAAGAACTAGTGTGCCCGTTTAATTGTCTGGACCTGAAAAGTTTTCAGCTCAAGCAATCCAGCCTAGAGGATATTTCTCTTTAAAACTCGAAACTTCCACCTTCTTCGCCCATTTTTAGTACTCCTTGTTGCTATTTGTGCTGGTGCTACACCGTTTCCTTCCTGTTTTTCAACTTGCTTATGCTTGGGCAGAAGAACCCCTGTCTCTCCGGGGTTGCTTATTCTACATTCTCTGTCCGCGTCTTTATGCAAGAAGTTGTTTGACGTTGTCTACTGCAGCCACATTCTTCTTGACTTCATAGAGATGAATGCTGTGTTCCCAGGCCACCTTCTTTAGAAGTTCTATTTATCTTTCCAAGTTTCAATACTTGACTCAATAGCTGATTATTCAAGATGCGAATTCTAATCCCAGGGTTTCTCCTTCACAAAGGGTTTCCTCTCACACAAACTATATAATTTTCTAAATCTCTTTTCTCTCTCTCCTGATTTCTCTAACTGTTATGCCACCTAGGTGACTAACAAACTTCAGTATCCGCTCCTAAACAGTTACAAGGCCTTAGCACAACCATATCCAAAACATCTATAAAAAAAATCAGCAATATGCAAATAAAAAAAATG